TGTCAACATGATCCACGATGTCGTTTCTGCGGAAAGTCTCACCTCTCTAATGTGTGTAGAAACAGACTTAATCTGGGTGAGAAAATAGTTCCCAGATGCTGCAATTGTGGAGGTGTTCACAATGCCAGCTCGGCTGTGTGTAGTAAGAGGCCGAGTATGGATGTTCCCGGGCCGGTGAATGTTACAGAGCAAGCAAGAGCTCTTACCCAGACACCGGGAGCACAGCAAAACAGTCTGCCCCAAACAGTCTGCCCCCCACTTTACTTCGTCAGGCTCAAGCAACAAGCAGTCACGCCACCACTCAGGACTCTGGCAGTGACAGTGTAACGGTGAGTGAAGTGGTTACTGGGGCTCAGAAAGAGGGCCATAATGATATGGTCAAGGAGGTGTGGGCTGAACTAAGAAAACTTGGCGAGTTCCTCCGAAATCTTGGGCAGAGAATCGAGTCCATCGAGGCGAAATTAAACGTTCAGGAGGTCACGGAAAATCACAAAACAGTGAAGGAAAGTCACAATATAGTGGTTGAGGGCAATAATGAAATATTGAGTGATGAAATGAAGGAAAGTGAAGTGTGTGTGAATGATGGTAGTCGTAGTGAAAGGAAGAACCCTATAATTACACATAAAATGAAGGAATCATTTGGGCCAATAATGGACGTCACAGGACTGAAAAAATCTCTTGAGAATCGCAATGTCGCTTTTACTGGTGAACTTGGGAGGAGGTGGGAGATGTTATACACGGTATGGCTATCATTTAGTGAACTTATTGGGGATGACTTAGACAGTGAATTGTTTAATAATGGATCACCCTACACTGAAAGTGTTGTCATGGAATGTTAATGGTTTAAGAAACAGGGTTACAGATGTTCATTGTTATGTGATGGGAAATGATATTGATGTTGTAGCTCTCCAGGAGACAGGGGATAGGAATGAAGGCTTATTGAAATTAAATGGCTATAAAGGGTTTCACCTCTTCGCCGCAAATAAGCAAGCATAAGAAATATTGCCGGAACAACCGTGGACATCTTCAAGAGGAAACTAGATTTATTCCTTCAAGGAGTGCCGGACCAACCGGGCTGTGGTGGGTATGTGGGCCTGCGGGCCGCTCCTAGCAACAGCCTGGTGGACCAAACTCTCACAAGTCAAGCCTGGCCTCGGGCCGGGCTTGGGGAGTAGAACAACTCCCAGAACCCCATCAACCAGGTATCAACCAGGTAACATCAGAGGGACGTCGATTTATGTTAAGAACTCCATACCAGCAGAGTTAGTAGAACCGCCATCAAAAACGCAAGGTATAGAGAGTGTCTGTGTTAAATTATCATTAAGGGAAGGGGAATTTATTGTAGTTAATTTGTATGTATCCAGGAACTGCTTCGACGTTAACTATTTACCTGACTGCATTTATACTAATCCTTCACTGGTCATTGGGACCTTAATGCTCGGCACACAAGCCTTGGGACAGTGGGTAGTATTAATACTAATGGGGTCAAGTGGTTACAGTTTCTAGAAGATCATCCAGATACCTGTCTCTTGGGAAACAATGAACCATCTCACATCAGGGAAGGACGGCTTGACTATGCCTGCATTTTAAACTCTCAGGGGATTATGGGGGGAGGCTCGGGTTGTTCGGGAACTACTTAGTGACCACTTTGCCTTGAACGTTGAATTACCACTGGGGAAAAAACAAGTCCACTTTCAAAGGAAAAGGCTAAATATTAATAAAGATATGAAAAATTATTTTATTTAAAATATGGGAGATTGGTAACAACAATACACGCCGCTCTGCGTTGATAGTTTTTACGAGGACATGGTCGAGAACATAGAGAAATTAGTACAGAGGGAAAATAATGGGGGCAGGGGAAGCAAGACGCATGGACCTAAGAAATTTAAATATTCCAATGATCAGCAAGTCAAGGGGTGGGAGAGAATGCTACGGAGTGCACATAAAGAATGGTTAAAAAATGGAATGAGAGATGAAGAGAAAAATACAATGTTGGAAGTGGCTAGGGAATGCCGTCAGGTGAGGAAGGAGGCGCGGGACAGATAGTGGCAAGACTTTGCTCAGTCCATTGGTAATACTAAGAACCTTAAAGACATATGGAGACCAGGAAATAAAATCAGGGGTTGTAAGCCCAAATTCATTGCTCACTCAGATCCAGGGAAGGTTGCTAATGAGTTAGTAGATAAATGGGCTAGTGCTGCTGGTATGGAGTCCTTACCTGCAGACACGAGAGTCACCATTGAGTCATGGGAAAATATTAGAAATGGAGTAACTTTATGTGCCTTAAATACAAGATCTGTAACATGTACTGAGATAACTCACGATGAGCTACTGGATGCTATAAAAAATGGCAGCTCTACTGCTCCGGGAAAAGATGGAGTAACGTATGACATTCTTAATTATTTACCCGATATGAAACCTAGTCCCTTACTTGAGTTGTTTAATATGAGTTATAGAGAAGGAAAGTTACCAAGAAATTGGAAAGAGGCTGTCATCATTCCTATCCCTAAGTCAAACGGACGCTACAGACCTGTCTCCTTAATATCCTGCTTTTGTAAAATGATGGAAAGGATTTTGTTAAATAGGCTACTCTACCTTGTAGGTGATAACATGTCCAGTAATCTCTTTGGTTTTATCAAAGGCAAAAGTACTGCGGATTGTCTCTTAAAGTGTTTTTCTAATGTGGCTGACAATTGTAGAGTTTTTGTTGATCTACAAGAAGCATTTGATAAAGCCAATGGGGAAGTAATCGTATACGAATTAGCCAATCTGGGAATAACAGGGAGATTGCTACACTGGATAAGGGATTATCTACAAGGCAGAAAAGGTCAGGTGTATTACCAGGGATACATGTCCGAGGAACAGATGTTTCAGTTAGGTACCCCACAAGGGGGAGTTTTAAGTACCACCTTATTCAGTGTATTAATGAACAGATTAGCATCAGATGTATCCTCCAGGGGTCATGACGATCATATATGCTGATGACATTCTTATACAAGGCACTTCTGGGAACAAAATTCAAACTGCTCTTAACATACTTGGTTCAACCTGTCACAAGTTAGGCTTAGTTATAAATGCAGATAAAACCGAATATGAGTATAGGAAACGAAGAAATATAACACTTACTCTAAATGGTGTGGAACTGAGCCGTGTTCAGAAGTACAAGTATCTGGGCATGTATGATGGATACACATGTGAGAGTAAAAATGCTGAAATAAATCATATCAGCACCTTATGTAAAGCCCGTCTGCGTCCTCTAAAAGCACTGGCTTTTTCTGGTAAAGGTGTTGGGGTACCTATCTTGCCGATGTTATACATAAGCACTGTTCGGTCCCTGATAGACTACGCAGCACCGGTTTTGTCTTACACAGGCCAAGGCAGAATTAAAAAAATAGAGCTGATACAGAATGAGGCTATGAAGATTATTCTTGGATGTCAATGAAATGCAATGATTGAAATAATGAGAATGGAATTAAATTTACAGAGTGTGTGTGATAGAGTCCGTGACATTAACACTAGAGTATCTATTCGTTTCATGCGGAGAAAAGGAGGGGATAAGCTGTTTGAGAGCGTTCAGACCTGCTTGAGTGACGTACACACTTCCAGGAAACTGAGGGAGACACGCTACACGAGGGGATTAGCTCATGACCTCAGGGAATACGATGTACTTGACTGCTGTAAACCCTCTCGACAGTGTAATGTCTGCTCCCTGGAAAGTACAGAAAATAGACGTCGAAATTGTACCCCTCAAGGTGAAAAAGATTCATCATGAACCAGGACAATTACGGTGTTTGTATGGAAGCATGATATCTCGGTTACCAAGAGGCAACAGTTTACATGTATATTGCGACGGGTCGGTGGCCGAGGATGGCAGGGCAGGGTGTGGTGTCCTAATAAGAGAATATACGGAGTTTGGGACTGTGGACAGGATAATTGAACTCCGGCTTAGTAATTATATATCATCCACACAAGCTGAACTGCAGGCCATTCTGGCGTGTTTGGAGGAAGTACGTCATGACGACAAAAATGTTTTTGTATTTGTCGATAGCCGAGGAGCACTTGAGTCCTTAAACAGACGAAACCCAGTCTTCATGTCCATAGCTGAGGATTGTAAGAAAAGAATAACTGAGATACAACTGAAAGGTCATAGTGTGAAATTCATGTGGATTCCATCTCATGTTGGAATAGTGCTCAACGAGGTGGCGGATGAATTGGCCAAACGTGCCACATCAAAACCACAAGTTGACATTGAATGTGAATTTACAATGAGACAAATAAGAAGCAAAATCAGAAATATTCAGGCACAGGCAGGAGTGGAGAGGAGAGATATAATGTATGAGAGAAGTCAAACCATGCAACACTACATGTATGTGAGTCAAAACACCCATTTCACTTATGGTAAAAGGAGAAATGCTTGGAGTGACTCTGGGTACATGCGGCTTAGTCTTGGGTACAAATATTACTGGGAATATGGGATAGGTGTTCATGATAATGACACGAAGTGTAAACTATGTGGTATGTTAAGGTCTCACACCCTTGCCCATTATGTTCTTGATTGTCCGTTGATTAATGTATATAGAAACACTGAGATAAGGACTGTTCCTGAACAAATAGCCAGGATGTGTCACAACGGAAAGGTTGATTATATTCTTGAGAGATATAAGAATTTTGCACCAAGACTGTAATTTTTTGTTGAATTATCTGCATGTCTCTTGCAAATTGTTTATACAGTATACCTAGGTCATAAAAGTATTTGTGTGTACGTCTGATACCATAATACTTGTGAAGGAGGAAATGTGGTTGTTTATCTCTCAGAATGTTTGGTAATATGTTTATTGTTTGTGATGTGTGTCTATGTATATATTAACACGATGTACTGAACGGGGTGAGAATAGCTTGAGCTACTTCATCCCTTTGTGTGTATTTTACATCAATGAAATTATTTCAATTTCAATTTCAATTTCACATACACACACACACACACACAACAGGACTCGTACCAGGGCCACCACTCCCACTGTCATCACCAGGACCCGTAGTAGGGCCACCACTCCCACTGTCATCACCAGGACCCGTAGCAGGGCCACCACTCCCACTGTCATCACCAAGACCCGTAGCAGGGCCACCACTCCCACTGTCATCACCAGGACCCGTAGCAGGGCCACCACTCCCACTGTCATCACCAAGACCCGTAGCAGGGCCACCACTCCCACTGTCATCACCAAGACCCGTAGCAGGGCCACCACTCCCACTGTCGTCACCAGGACCCGTAGCAGGGCCACCACTCCCACTGTCATCACCAAGACCCGTAGCAGGGCCACCACTCCCACTGTCGTCACCAGGACCCGTAGCAGGGCCACCACTCCCACTGTCATCACCAGGACCCGTAGCAGGGCCACCACTCCCACTGTCGTCACCAGGACCCGTAGCAGGGCCACCACTCCCACTGTCATCACCAAGACCCGTAGCAGGGCCACCACTCCCACTGTCATCACCAAGACCCGTAGCAGGGCCACCACTCCCACTGTCGTCACCAGGACCCGTAGCAGGGCCACCACTCCCACTGTCATCACCAGGGCCCGTAGCAGGGCCACCACTCCCACTGTCGTCAACAGGACCGGTAACTGGGCCACCACTCCAACCGTCGTCAACATGACCAGTAACTGGGCCACAACTCCAACCGTCGTCAACAGCAACCATAGACCCGCAAGATCCGTAGCTAGATGGCCATCCGCTTCTCTGCTCAAGACAGTAAGTCCGATGTGCAAGACGGTATGGCCGTTCGACAATTCGGTAGGGCTGTTGGACAACGCGGAAAGACCGCTGAGTGAGTCGCTTAGAGTGTTGGACTAAACGATGTGACCGCTAGATAACACGTTTAGGCCGCTCAAGAAGTTGTTTAGGTCACTTGAGACGGCGGAAAGACCGGTTAACCAGTTGGTTAGGTCCTTGATCAGTTCTGTCAGGTTTAGAGGCGGGGAAGGTTGTGGAAGGTGGCGAATGGCAGGGTAGTTGGCAGGTTGTGGAATGGTGGCGAATGGTAATTTCGGGGTCTTTAAACATCCCAAAGATTACCACCTCCCAAGGGCAACTAGAGCAAGTGAGGGGGTCACTTACGTTTTTCATCAAGTCCCTGTTAATATGGGAGAACTCTGTGTCTATGCTTGATGCACAACTTGCCTAAACACAATAAATATATTAGTATATTTTGGTAGCAGTCTTTCTTGTAAACATATGTTGTTTAATATGACCGAAAAAGTAAGATTAATAATTCTAACACGAATTTTCTCAATATTTCTTGTTTCTTTTTACTGTTGATGGTAATTGAAAAATCAATTCTCCAAAATTCATTTTTATTTCTAGTCTGACACGACGCTTGAACGCGGTTCGTAATAACTTATTACATTTTCAAAGACTTTAGTATACACATACACAACAGTAACCTGAAAACAGAGTTTTACTTAATGCTAACATTGAACAGCTTTTCTTATATACTCCCATTTGAGTGAGTTGATATGTTGCAACAGTTTTGGATGAGGTGAACAAACTTTTGACCAACACAAGACAGAACACAGTGCAATGGGTATAAAGTGGATAAATGAGAGGGAAGAATGGAAGTAACTGCAAAGGGCCTATTTACCCATACTTCCTCTTGATGCTTCTATATTGGTATGGAGTCTTGAAGTGGGTGGAATATAGTTGTGCATTAATTGACTGTTGATTGCTGGTGATGACTTTTGTATATGTAGTTCCTCACAGATGTCAAGCCGCCTGCTATCGCTGTATCTATCGATAATTTCTGTGTTGTTTGTTAAGACTTCTCTGGTGATGGTCTGCTTGTGGGAAGAGATTCAATGTTCCTTGATGGAGCCCTTTTGCTTATGTATTGTTAATCGCCTGGAAAGAGATGTTGTTGTCTTGCCTATATACTGAGTTCTTTGGGGTTTACAGTCCCCAAGTGGGCATTTGAAGGCATAGACGACGTTAGTCTCTTTTAAGGCGTTCTGCTTTGTGTCTGGAGAGATTTTCATGAGTTGGTTGGCCGTTTTTTTGGTTTTATAGTAAATCGTCAATTGTATCTTCTGATTTTTGTCTGTGGGGATAACGTTCCTATTAACAATATCTTTCAGGACACTTTCCTCCGTTTTATGAGCTGTGGACAAGAAGTTCCTGTAAAATAGTCTAATAGTGGGACAGGTGTTGTGTTAGTTGACTCTACAGAGGTTGCATGGCGTTTCACCTTCCTTTTTATGATGTCTTCAACGAAACCATTGGAGAAGCCGTTGTTGACTAGGACCTGCCTTACCCTACATAGTTCTTCATCGAGTTTCTTCCAACCTGAGCTGTGGCTGAGAGCACGATCTATGTAAGCGTTGACAACACCCTCTTGTACCTGTCTGGACAGTTACTGTTAGCATTGGGGCACATTCCTATGTTTGTTTCCTTAGTGTAGACTGCAGTGTGGAAACCTCCTCTCCTTTCCATGACTGTTACATCTAGAAAGGGAGCTTCCCATCCTTCTCCATCTCGTAAGTGAAACTCAACACAGAATTCCGCTCGAATGCCACCTACAGCTCCTGCAGACGTCTGACATCGTGTAGCTGTGTAAAAAATGTCGTATGTTGACGACATTTTTTTCACCATCTTACATACCCTTCACCATCCCCAACCCTTCTCTCTCTAAACTACCCTTCACCTCTTTCCCTACCATTCACCGTCTTGACTGCCCTTCACCATCTTACCCATCTTTCCCCAACTCACCTACCACTTACTGTCTTACCTACCTTTCACCACCATACCTACCCTTCATCATCATCCCTACTCTTCACCATCTAACCTCCCCTTCACCATCTCCCCAACCCTTCACCGTATTAATTACCCTTCACCATTTTTCCTACCATTGACCGTCTTACCCACCCTTCACCACCTTGCCTACACATCGAACGGCATTCAGAAACTTCTGTAAAGAATCATTCAGAACTTTGTATACCACATATGTCAGGCCAATCCTGGAGTATGCAGCCCCAGCATGGAGTCCATATCTAGTCAAGGATAAGACTAAACTGGAAAAGGTTCAAAGGTTTACCACCAGACTAGTACCCGAGCTGAGAGGTATGAGCTACGAGGAGAGACTACGGGAATTAAACCTCACTTCGCTGGAAGACAGAAGAGTTAGGGGGGACATGATCACCACATTCAAGATTCTGAAGGGGATTGATAGGGTAGATAAAGACAGGCTATTTAACACAAGGGGCACATGCACAAGGGGACACAGGTGGAAACTGAGTGCCCAAATGAGCCACAGAGATATTAGAAAGAACTTTTTTTAGTGTCAGAGTGGTTGACAAATGGAATGCATTAGGAAGTGATGTGGTGGAGGCTGACTCCGTACACAGTTTCAAGTGTAGATATGATAGAGCCCAATAGGCTCAGGAATCTTTACACCTGTTGATTGACGGTTGGGAGGCGTGACTAAAGAGCCAGAGCTCAACCCCCGCAAACACAACTAGGTGAGTACAACTAAGTGAGTACATCACCATCTCCCCTACCCTTCACCATCTTGCCTACACTTCACCATCTTACCTACACTTCAACATTTCCCCTACCCTTCACTGGCTTACCTCCCTTTCACCGTCTTACCTACGTTTCACCATCTTTCCTACCCTTCACCATCCTCCCTACTCTCGACCGTCTTACCTACCTTTCACCATCTCCCCTACCCTTCACCAACTTACCTCCCCTTCACCATCTTACCTACCCTTCGCCATCTCACCTACCCATCATGATTTTTCCAACCTTTCACCATCTTACCCACCATTCACAGTTTTACCTTCCTTTCACCATCTTCCGTACCCTTCACTGAGTTAGTACCCTTCACCATCTTACCGACCATTCACAGTCTTACCTACCTTTCACCATTTTCCGTACCCTTCACAGCGTTAGTACCCTTCACCATCTTACCTACCCTTCATTATCTTCATTCCTTTCATCATCTTATCTTCCCTACATCATCTCCCCTATCTTTCACTATTTTCCCTTAGCCTTAACAATCTTATCTACCCTTCACCATATTCCCTACATTTCATCGTCTTACCTACCCTTCACCAGCTTCCCTACCCTACACCGTCTTACATACTTTTCACCGTCTAACCTTCCATTCACAAACCTTCCCTATCCTTGGTTAAGTGGTTAGAGGTGTTTGTTTGGGTTTAAACTGTTAGTAGATAGAGGTATGGGAATTGATTTGGAAGAAGGAGGTAATAAAAGTATGTGTTTGTGGGAGAAAGGAATTGGCAAAATGATCAGGGAAAGAGAAGGGCCTCAAAATAACAATTCACTTAGGGTATATTACACTAACAGTAGAAGTCTAAGAAATAAAATTAACGAATTAAATGCTCTTGTCTGCACAGAAAAAATAGATATTATTGCACTTACCGAAACGTGGATGAATGTAGAAAATAGAGAACTATTAGCTGAATATCAAATAAATGGATTTAAACTATTTCACACAGATAGATATATTAGACGAGGAGGGGGAGTAGCCATATATGTTAGGGACAATTTGAAATGTAGTCTCAAAGAGGGAATCAAAACTGAGCCACACACAGAAACTATTTGGATAGAATTATACGAAAAAGCAAATAATATTATAATAGGAGTTATATATAGGCCACCAAATTTAGACAGAATGGAAGCAAAGCATCTATGGGATGAAATATCTAGGGCATCTAGATCTAACAGTATTTACGTCATGGGTGACTTTAATTTTAGTGGAATAAACTGGTTGAACAAAACAGGGAATAGTGAAGCAGAAGATTTTCTAGATTTAATTGACGATTGCTTTCTTACGCAACACATTAAGGAACCAACACGGGAAAATAATATGTTAGATTTAGTGTTAACTAACAGGGATACAGTGAGCTAGGGAACAGTGATCACAAAGAAATCAGATTTAGCATAGAATGGAATAGACCTGTAGGAGAAAATTCTGTTAAAGTGCCAGACTTTCGAAAAGCTGATTTTGGGAGCCTTAGAAATTTTTTGGGTCAAATTGATTGGAAAGTCTTGGGTGTGGGGTGGGAGCCGGTCTTGGAGCGAGACATGGGCCCGGCGATGGGTGACGTGGATGGGGATTTCGATGTGGATTCAATATATAACTTGTTTAGGAATATTCTAAACAAAGCACAGGAACGTAGTATACCATACAAATTGAATAGATCGAATACCAATGACCCAAAATGGATAACAAAGAATTTGAAGAACCTTATAGGTAAAAAGAGAGCTTGGTACAAAAGGATTAAAAATGGGGAGGTCACTTTAGAACAGGAATTCGTACAACTGGTTAGAAATGTTAAAAAGAGATAAGGAAAGCAAAAAGAAACTATGAAGTTCGCATAGCAGGGCAAGCAAAGACAAATCCTAAAGGTTTTTTTTCAGTTATATCGTACTAAGACTAGGGAAAGGATAGGTCCATTAAAAACTGAGACAGGTCAAATAACAGATAGTGATGAAGAGATGAGTAGTATTTTTAATAAATATTTTGTATCTGTATTTACTAAAGAGGAACTTAACAATATGCCTTCAGCCGAACAAGTCTATGTGGGTGGGGACGAGGACAGGTTGACGAGTTTAACAGTTACCAGGGAGGATGTTCTTAAACAAATAGTAAAACTCAAACCAAACAAATCCCCATGGCCGGA